CCGGAGGTGCTAGTACTGGGAGTACTTGAGCTGTTGGGCCTGCGGGTGCTTCTCGTACTGGAGCTGGTGGTGCTGCGGGCGTCGGTGCTACTGAGGGTGCTGGAGCTGGACCCGCTGCGTCTTCTGGTGGTCCGGCTGGAGCTGGAGCTGCTGGGGGTGTTGGCGCTGAGGGTGCCTCTGGTGCTGGTGCCTCTGAGGGTACTGGAGTTGGCGCTGCTGGAGCTGGGGGTGCTGCTGGCGCTGGTGCTGTCGTTCGGGGTGCTGGTGCTGTCCCTTCTGGTGCTGGTGGTGCTGAGCGACCGCGGCCGTACTTCGTTCCGCTCCTTGAGCAGGTTCTTGGTCTTCCGCCCTCTGCTAGTCCGGCTCCTCCCTTAGAGTGTCCACCGACTGTCCAGTCCGAGTCACAGTTACAGCCTACCTCTCCTCTGCCTGCTCCTTCTCCCTACACTGGTCCTACTGGAGGTCTTGCTGAGCGTCGTGAGCCTGCGTCTCGTCCTGCGTCGCCTGTCCGTGCTGCTCGCACTAGTAGTCGTGGTTCGCGTCAGCGTCCTCCCCCTGTCCCCGGCACGCACCGGATGTCTCTGCGTCCCTCCACTGCTCCGTTGCGTGCCCCTTTGCCTTCTCCTCCTGAGTCCTCTCTTCCTGTTCTTCCTGACCCGGAGTCGGACTCCCTTCGTGCTGCCAGTCCTGCTGTCACGCGTCTCCTTGCTACTGTCGTCACTGACCCTTCCTTTGAGTCCGCTGCTGCGTCTGCCTTAGTTTCTGAGCTTGTCGACTTCGCTGCTCGCTGTCGCCTAGACTACGCTGCTAGTCTTGTCGCTGAGTCTGAGTCTGTCTGTCCTCCGTCCGTCGGGGGTGAGTGTGCCCTTGGCACGGACGTCCTTGAGGACAGGCAGGAGGAGTTCCAGTGCTTGGCCGCTGCTTCACCTCATCTCGTGTCCATGCTGCTTGCCCCTGAGGGAGACCCGGATGCACCAGACATCCCGACTCCGCGCTCTTACGCGGAGGCGATAGAGGGTCCCTACTCCTCTCAGTGGCAGGCAGCCATGGATGCAGAGATGGCTTCCTGGAAGTCCACAGGCACCTACGTCGACGAGGTTCCCCCTCCTGGGGCGAACATCGTCAGTGGCATGTGGATTTTCAGGGTGAAGCGGCCGCCGGGTTCTCCGCCTGTCTTCAAGGCGCGCTACGTGGCTCGTGGCTTCAGTCAGCGGCAGGGAGTTGACTACTTTCAGACCTTCTCTCCCACCCCGAAGATGACCACTCTTCGGGTACTGCTGCACATAGCCGCTCACCGTGACTACGAGCTTCACTCTCTTGACTTCAGCACTGCTTTCTTGCAGGGCAGCCTGCACGAGGAGATCTGGCTGCGCCGCCCACCTGGCTTCACTGGGTCTTTTCCTCCTGGTACCCAGTGGAGCCTCCGGCGACCAGTCTACGGTCTCCGCCAGGCACCTCGTGAGTGGCACGACACACTGAGGACTACACTTGCGGCTCTTGGGTTTGCTCCTTCTACTGCCGACCCGTCGCTGTTTCTGCGCACCGACACTTCTTTGCCGCCGTTCTACATCCTCGTGTACGTCGACGACTTGGTCTTTGCCACAGCTGACACTGCTGGACTCGCCCACGTGAAGTCCGAGCTACAGAAGAGACACACGTGCACAGACCTGGGTGAACTGCGCAGCTACCTTGGCTTGCAGATCACCCGGGACAGAGCACAGCGCACCATTACCCTGACTCAGTCACACATGGTGCAGCAGGTCCTTCAGCGCTTCGGCTTCACGTACTCCTCGCCTCAGGCCACTCCTCTGTCTACTCGCCACTCGCTCTCAGCTCTGCCTTCGGATGAGTCCGTAGAGTCGAGTGGCGTGTACCCAGAGCTTGTTGGCTGCCTCATGTACCTGATGACCTGCACTCGACCTGACCTTGCATACCCTCTAAGCATTCTGGCACGCTATGTTGCTCCTGGGAGACACAGACCAGAGCACATGGCTGCAGCGAAGAGGGTGTTGCGCTACTTGTGCAGTACGTCGGGCATGGGGCTTGTGCTTGGAGGGCGGAGTCCAGTGGTCCTCACTGGTCACGCAGACGCTTCTTGGGCTGACGACCAGGCTACGCAGCGGTCATCACAGGGTTACACCTTCAGCCTTGGTTCCGGCTCTGTTTCGTGGCGGTCTACCCGCTCGTCTTCTGTTCTCGGCTCCAGTTGTGAGGCTGAGATCTACGCAGGGGCCATGGCTGCACAGGAGCTATGCTGGCTCACCTACCTGCTGACTGACCTAGGAGAGCCGCCTCGTTCTCCTCCAGTTCTGTACGTAGACAACAAGGCTATGCTGGCCTTGTGTCGGGAGCACAGACTGGAGCACAGAACGAAGCACATCGCTCTTCGCTAATTCCTTGCTCGTGAGCTGCAGCAGCGAGGTCAGCTGCGCCTTGCTTACGTGGCCTCTGAGGCCAACACTGCTGATATCTTCACCAAGGCACTTGCGCCTTGTGACCATCAGCGCTTCTGTACTCTGTTAGGTCTTGTACCTACCTTGCCTCACTTGCTCACTTCTTGACCTTGCTTGTACTGTTACATATATATATACCTGCTCTTGCTTGTTTAGCGTTATATATATGTGTGTACTCATGCATGTGAACTGGCCTTGTGGCCTTGAACTTGTGCTCAGAATGTGTGGTGACGTTGTGATCCACCCTGAGCTTGCTTTGCCTTGCTTTGCTTGACTGGTCTTGTGACCCCTTGTTCTCCCCCACTTTGCCTATGGGGGTGTGTCAAACTTATATGATCTAGCCTGTGTAGGCTGTAGCGGGTTAGATACTAAGGGGTACACAATTCTAGGGTTTCACATTTTGTATCACTTTCATTCCTTAGTCAATTCATTCTCGTTCTAAGTTTCTCAGAGGCAGCAGGCACCAGGTAGGAGGCAGGAGGCAGAGGCAGGAGGCAGGGGCAGCAAGCAGCAGGCAGGCAGCAGGCAAGCTGCAGGCAGGCGACAGCAGGCAGCAAGCAGGCAGGCGGCAGCACGCAGCAAGGAGCAGGCAGGCAGCAGGCAGGCAGCAGGCAGGCTGCAGGCAGGCTGCAGCAGGCAGCAAGCAGGCAGGCAGGCAGGCTGCAGGCAGCAAGCAGGCAGGCGGCAGCAGGCAGGCAGCAGGCAGGCTGCAGGCAGGCGGCAGGCAGGCGGGCAGCAGGCAGGCTGCAGGCAGGCTGCAGCAGGCAGCAAGCAGGCAGGCTGCAGGCAGCAAGCAGGCAGGCGGCAGCAGGCAGGCAGCAGGCAGGTTGCAGGCAGGCGGCAGGCAGGCGGCAGCAGGCAGCAAGCCGGCTGGCAGGCAGGCATCAGGCAGGCGGCAGGCAGGCTGCGGGCAGGCGGCAGGCAGGCGGCAGCAGGCAGCAAGTAGCAGGCAGGCAGCAGGCAGCAAGTTGGCAGGCGGCAGTAGGCAGCAAGCATGCAGGCGGCAGCACGCAGGCAGTAGGCAGGCTGCAGGCAGGCGGCAGTAGGCAGCAAGCAGGCAGGCAGGCAGGCGACAGGCAGGTGGCAGCAGACAGCTAGCAGGCAGCAAGCAGGTAGGCAGGCAGGCGACAGGCAGGCGGCAGCAGGCACGAGGCTGCAGGTTGCACGTGGCTACGGGCAGCGCGCGCAGCTGCGGGCTGCTCGTGGCGACGCGCGGGCTGGCGGCAGGCTGCGTGGGCGGCTGGCGCGGCGCGTGGGGCCTAAAACGGGCTACACGGCGCGTGGGGCCTAAAACGGGCTACACGGACGCGGCGCGCAGGGCCTAAGCGGGTTGCGCACGGGCGGCTTACACGGCGCGCGGGCCGGCGGCAGGCTGCGCGGGTGACTGACGTGGCACGCGGGGCCGAAAACGGGCTGCGCGCGGGCTGCTTTAAGTGGCGCGCACGGGAAAAACAAAAAAGGGCCACGCGCGTGCAGCCAAGGCGCGCGCGGGCAGCAGGTAATGCAGTCATCGGTGGGCCCTAATCTTATGTCCTAAAGACCTATGCTCTAGATACCATCTTAGAAGCTAGGCATGAGTGATGTCGACTATCGAGAAGGTTGGTACAAGGAAAATGAACCTAAGGGGTTGTACCCCACAGTGTGTACCCCACTAAGCCTACCCAAAATATAACATAGATATACATATGTTTGACAGAGCTTGCTTTGCTTTTCTTGACTGGTCTTGTGACCACTTGTTCTCCCCCACGTTGCCTATGGGGGTGTGTCAAAATGCTATGGTGCTTGCTTTATGTAGGCTATGGTGGGGTAGCCCATAAGGGGTACAACCCAATGAGGGTTAGTACTTGTACCCAAATTTCTGTTCAATGCATTCGTTCTCGTTCGTTAGTTTGACATGAACGACATCAAAACTGCCACCATCTCGACCAAGTTGGCTACAGTGAAATGACGATGTCGCATGAATGGTTACATCGTGCTGACGACGTCGCCTGTTTGAATGCGACGCCGTCGTTCATACCAAGTCGTTAAAAAATCCAAAACGGGATTTTCCACGCCTGTCACAACAGCCAACAATATATTGCACTTGGTATGGTAGCGTCGGTAGCGCTACCATTTCGCTAGACGACGCTACCGAGTGAGTCAGCATGCTGACCACGGGCAGAAAAAAACTAAAACCCATTCGGAAGGCATGCCATTCGGGAGCCTCAACCCTAAAATTTTAGGGTTGATGCCTCCCGAATGGCATGCCTTCCGAGTGGGTTTTATTTTTTTCCTTGCCCGCTGACTAATTGCACTGCCTGCGTCAGCAGGCAGTGCAATTTATATTCCAAAACATGTCAAATTTGAAAAGCACCCCCAAATGGCCGAAATAGAGACGTGCTAGCTGCAACCATCTTGTCGACCTTCGCGAAAAAAAATGTCGACATCTGATATTTATGTCACCTAAACAATGCATGCTTACATATTTGCCGCAAGTACTAAGACTTAAGTGCCATTCATTGGAAAAGCTGCAGTGGTAGAATACCAGTAAAATACGACGCCAAATGGCTACGAGAGCACGGCCATGACATCAGCCTCCCTGAGCACGACGTGCGGGGAGCCATCCTTGGCCTTGAACTCGCTGGCTGCATACTTGCTGTACAGCACCGTGCTGCCCACTGGCACCTCCACTGCCCGCCTCGACCCGTCCTCCTTCACCGCCCCTGGCCCCACTGCCACCACCTGGTGTGTGGGACAAACCAAGGCACACCACGGGGAAGAAAAGCGCACGTTAAGTGACATTGAGAATCATTGGGTGACAACAGGGATGGTCAGCAGTCCATGCATCTCGTTTGCTCCCCACATTTCTACTGCCCTTCCATCGACTCGCATCCTTCTAACTTTCTGCTGCAACCCTCTCGAGTCCACAGAGCAGCTGCAGCACAACTGCAGGCGCCACAAGCAGCTGCTGCCCCGGTCACGGAATCCACCACACACACGCACACTGCATGCACAAGCCTACAAATTCACAGAATACTCGTCACAATTCCATCCCCGCACGCTTACTCCCACATGCATTACAAGCAGCCCAAACACTCACATCCAAACCCCACTCCCCTCCCCACCCTAAACCCTGTCCACGACCGCGTCAACGCATAATCAACATCAGTGCGGGGCCTGACCGGTGCATGACCGGTGTAAGTGGGGCTGTCCAAGGTGCCCCCACCAATGAGCAACGCCCTCAACCACCCCAGCGTGACAACACCTCACCTGCATCCCACTGCTTCTCCTTCCCCGCTTCCATACCTCGTTTTCCTTCACAGCTCCCGCCTATCCTCTCTCTTTTGCCTTAACAAGAGGCTAGGGCGGGCGCACTCACCGTGCCGATGACGGGCTTCTCCTTGGCGCTCTCCGTCAGCAGCACCCCACCCGCCGTCACCTGCTCCGCCTCTTGCACCTGCAAGCGAGCAAACGGGACAGAGCAGGGGGGGGAGGGATCACGGATGGAACAGATGGATCTATCCTTCACCCCCGCTGCCTTTGGCATTTTTCATCTCTCGGCCCATGCCCACTTCACCCCAGAACAAACCCCGCCACTTACAACCACCTCTCTCCGCACAACTTGTCCAAAACCCTCATGAGCACGCGGACGCACCTTGATGAGCACGCGGTCGGCGAGCGGCTTAAGCTGCGCGACGTCGTCGCTGTCTAGCGTACCGACCACGTCGTCCTCGCGCAGCAGCACGTGCAGCGCGCCCTCGTAGTCCACCTCCGTGCCCGCGTACTTGCTGTACACCACGCGCGCGCCCGCCTGCCACCACTCACGGGGGTGTGACACGGGTGAGTGGGTCATGTGACGGGGCGTTTCCGGCGACCGTTACCGCTTGCACCTTGCGAACGAACGCGTGATTTCCTCACAGCGCACGCGGACCCGGCATACGAAGCACCATGCGCGCATGGTGGAAATGAGAAGGTACAGATCCGGGAAATGGGCAGCGCACGACGCGGCAGAGTGGTACAAGGTGGGCGAGGAGCAGCAGCAGAGCGCATGCAAACACGCCGCCGCTCAAGTTTTCGCTGCATTCCTTGACGTTAGGCGAAAAGGGTTACGTGGCCGTGGTGCACGTGCGCGCAATTGACGGGACAGGGGAAGGCAATAATGCGCGCCTGCGCTCGCACCTCAACACCAACGGGAACAGTCTTGTCGCCGATGGTTCGCCCGTCGCCCACTGCGACGACCTTGCCGCCCTGCGGCTTGCTCTGCGATGACGACGGCAGCAGCAGCCCGCCCGCCGTGCGCTCCTCCGCCTGCTCCAGGCGCACCAGCACGCGGTCGCCCACCGGCGCCAGCGACGAGATCTGCCGCGGGATGCGCGGACGAGCGGAGCATGGTTTCGAAGAGAGGGGGGAGGAGACAGGTGTTTGGGGAAAAGAGGGGGGTGGAGGGGGGAGGGGGTGGTTAGGTTGTGAAGTGGAGGGGTGTTGCCGAAAGGGGGCGGGGAAGGAACGGGGGAAGGAGGGAGTAATAAAATAGCAATGAATGGGTTCAAGACAATGCGGTAGAGACGGATCTTTGGACGCAGACTCGGGACTCGAGGAAACGGCGAGAGGACGAGGAAAGGAGTCCACGGGCGAAGCGGAAAGCAGCCACATACCGAGGGTGGAACGGCAACTCCCGCGCGCACAACAACTGCGCTGCGACACGAAGGCGTCGGACGGTGTGCGACGGATTGTGCGACGGCGGCGACGGGCTGCACGGCCTTGAGCCCGCTGAAGCTGGCGAAATCGGCCGCTCGAACCGGCGGCAACACGCACTCTGAAGGCAGGGCGGGGCTGGCGCAGGGCCTAGCGGCAAGCATGGAGACGGATGCAGCCATGTGTGGCAGGCGCGGTCGGTGAAGCGCGGTTGGGAGTGAGCCGAGTGAAGCTCGAGGGTTTACTTGAGCAAGCACTGGCTGGGTGGGAGCTGTAAAAGCCCAGGCGCTCATGAAATGGAACGAAATGCGAGTGATGGGTAATGTTGAGGCGGGGAAATGGTAAGTGGTGGCAGGAGGGTGATGGCGAAAGCACAGATCCGCGCTGACATGGCTTCCAATGTGGACGGAAAGGACTCATCTAGAAGCCACGTGGAATGGTTTCCTTAACAGAGACCTCGAACTTCTAGAAGTGTCACTCGCCGAATATGCAGCAACTACTGCCTTACTGTATACCGACGCAACGTGTTGTGAGCTGTTCAGCAAGAGTGCGCAAAACAAGGAATAACGAATTTGTGACAATATGGACTAACTAAACAATGAACATAACTATATAATATTATGGGCGAATCCCATATAGGAGGGAACCTTGGGAGTTGGTGTTGGACTAACCGAAAGGTTATTATAACATTCCCGAAGGTTCTCTCCTAGCGCGCCACTTCATAACGAAGCATCGCTACTGTACCAGTACAGCAATAGCTCACATAGAGCATGCGGCAGCTCGAGAGTCACTCGAAGGTCAACAGTCGAAGTTAGTCAACGGTCGTAAATGTTGACCAGGGGCAACTTTAGTGAAATGGCATGTCTGGCTTTAAGACCGAGTTTTGGAGGCTTGTCTAGTCGTCAGACGAAATCTGAAGCTATGTTTATATTTTAAGACGAATATTTTGGCCTTATCTTAGAATTCAGACGGATTTTTTTAGCTTAGTCTAAAGACAAATACATCCTACAGATAAGCTAACTGTTAGAATTTGAAATGAGTTTGAAGGATCGTAGTCTTAGGATGGTAGCTTCCTGTCGTAGCGGAAGTCTTATATGAGTGACTTGTAACAGGATCAATGTCTCTGAAATCAAGTATATTATAAAATGACAGACATACAAAATATATAGCTAGAGTAAAGTACATGTTCGCCTACTGTGCTGTGCTATTCTTATCTTGAAACGGTACGTAACTATTCGCGAAGTCTATAGCTACGTGCTGACGTCATCCTAGGTCGCGTAGCGCTTTGCTGATGTCAGCCTATCGGTACTTTACTGTACTACACGAATTTCCTTGAAGTGCTTTATGTCTCGATATAATCTCAACACTCCCCTTCACTTCTAGGAGTTCGGTGTGTCAGATTTATATGACATAGCTGCTGTAGGCTATAGTGGGGTAGCACATATGGGGTACAGTTTCCTAGGGTTTGCTTTTTGTACCCAACTTTCACTTAGTCATTTCATTCCTCGTTTCTTCTCATGGTATCGAGCAGGTTCCCTAGTGGGAACGATTCCTAGGGCCCACCACCACGAATTTTTTTTTCCTGCCCGGAGCGCGCTTCGCTCCGGCCCGAGTCACACCCTGTGTGCTCTCCCTACCGTCGCGCCCTCGCTAGGCCCCTCACGGCCCCGTCGCGTCGCCCTTAGCGGCCCTCTCACGGCTCGTCGCGCCGCCCTTACGGCCCTTCGTGCCGCCCTTACGGCCCGTCGCGCCCGTCGCGCCGCCCTTACGGCCCCTCGCGCCGCCCTTACGGCCCCTCGTGCCGCCCCTTACGGCCCCTCGCGCGGCCCCTTACGCCCCTTACGGCCCCTACCTGCGGCCCCGCCACCTACCCGCGGCCCCGCCACCTACCTGTGCGGCCCCGCCACCTACCTGTGCGGCCCCGCCACCTACCTGCGGCCCCGCCACCTACCAGCGGCCCCGCCACCTACCCGCGGCCCCACCACCTACCTGTGCGGCCCCGCCACCTTCCTGCTGGCCCCGCCACCTACCTGCGGCCCCGCCACCTACCAGCGGCCTCGCCACCTACCTGCGGCCCCGCCACCTACCTACGGCCCCGCCACCTATATTTGCGGCCCCGCCGCCTCCTCTCAGCGGCCCCGCCGAGCCGCCCAGCAGCCGAGCCGCCCAGCAGCCGAACCGCCCAGCCGCCGAGCCGCCCAGCAGCCGAGCCGCCCAGAAGCCGAGCCGCCGAGCCGCCCAACAGCCGAGCCGCCGAGCCGCCCAGCAGCCGAGCCGCCGAGCCGCCCAGCAGCCGAGCCGCCGAGCCGCCGAGCAGCCGAGCCATCGAACCGCCCTGCAGCCGAACCACCCGAGCCGCCCTGTCCGGTAAGAGCAGCGCCTCTTTCACAGCACTGCCCTCACCCTACTGTTTGCGCTGCTAGTCTACTGCTGTCATGGCTACCCCTAGTGTCCTCGCTTTTGACGCTGAGGGTCGGGCCATTGACTTTGACGTCTGGATAGATGACCTGCAGCTTTTCTTACAGTGCGACAGAGCAGACGGCCTCTCCCTCTTTGACCTCACTTCTGGTGCCTCTCCTGCCCCCGCTGCTGATACTGACGCCACTGTTCGCTCACAGTGGGCCACGCGCGATGCTGCTGCACGTCTTGCTGTGCGTCGCCACCTGCCTACCTCTGAGCGTGCGCACTTTAGCCAGTACAAGAGTGCTCACACCTTGTACGACGCTGTAGTTGCGCGCTACTCCTCCCCTGCCACTGCTGCACTGAGCCGCCTCATGCTACCGTACCTCTTCCCTGACCTTGCTGCCTTTCCCACAGTCGCTGACCTCATTACGCACCTCCGCACTAGTGACACTCGCTACCGCGCTGCGCTTCCTGCTGAGTTCTGCGCCAAGAACCCCCCCCCCATGTACATCACCCTCTACTACATAGTCACCCGACTCCCTGACTCCCTTCGCGTAGTCAGGGACCACTTCCTCTCAGTTTGCCCCACCACTCTCACCGTTGACCTCCTCGAGAAGTCCCTCCTAGCAGCAGAGAAGAGCATAGTAGCTGTAGGAGCCTCTCGTGGTGACCCTCGCACCCCCATCTTTGAGGGGTGTTCCCCCTCCCCCCTTTTGCCCTCTGTTGCCTCTGCTGCTGCGGCCGACCTCGTTGGGCTTGAGTCGGTCGGTGCGGCGTCTACCCCTAGCGGGAGACGCCGCCCTGGCAAGGGCAAGGGGGGCAGGGGCACTGGAGGAGCTAGCGGGGGCGGTGGAGGCGGCGGTGGAGGCAGTGGAGGGGGTGGGGGTGGCGGTGGGGGTGGTGGTGGGGGTGGAGGTGTCGGTGGCGGCGGTGGAGGCGGAGGCGGCGGCGGCGGTGGCGGTGGGAGCGGAGGTGGCGGCGGTGGAGGAGGCGGCGGCGGAGGAGGTGGAGCTGGTCGGGGTGGCGCTGCACAGAGGGTCGGCTCCGGTGGTGGTCAGCGCCAGCAGCAGCAGCAGCAGCAGCGCACTCGTGACATCCCCCCCCCTCAGCAGCTCCGTGAGTGGTACGCTGCACGCCAGCGGGGTGGGGGTACTGGTCCGTGCACCTACGTCCTACGCACCGGCGACCGCGCGGGTGACCAGTGCGGGGGTGCGCACTCTACCCAGCGCTGCTTTGGCCGCCTGACGGACGCTTGGCGTCACCAGTTCCCTGAGGCCACTGAGATCCCCCGCTGGGGTGAGCTGTCTAGGGCGGGTTTCGCTGTCTTTGACCTTGACTTTGATGCTATTCTTGCTGCCATGTATACTGTGACTATTAGTGATGAGGGTGACTGTTACCGGTGTTTTCCGCCCGACCCGGGCATTGAGACTGCTGCTCTAGGTACTGGTGAGGCTGCTGCTCTAGGTGCTAGCGAGGCTGCTGCTCTAGGTGCGTCTGCTCCCTCAGGTGCTGGTGAATCTGCTCTCTCAGGTTCTGCGTCGGCTTCGGCCTCCCACACCTTCACCCTTGACTCGGGAGCTTCTCGCTCCTTCTTTCGAGACCGCACCACACTCACGCCGCTTGGCCGGCCAGTTGCGGTCTCTCTGGCAGACCCCTCTGGGGGTCCTGTTCTTGCTCACTTCTCCACTGTCCTCCCGTGTCCGGCGGCCCCCTCTGGCACCCTGTCTGGTCTTTACCTCCCCTCGTTCTCTACGAACTTGGTGAGTGGTGCTGACCTACAGGATGCGGGGGTTCACCAGTTCACTCCTGCGAGTCAGCGGGTGACCCACTGCACGGACGCTCGGACTGGCCGACACCTGGCCACGTTTACCCGTCGGCCGGGGTCGAGCCTGTACACCCTGACCACTGCGTCTCCTCCAGTCACTGCGTCTGGTCAGGTAGCTGCGTCGGGTCAGGTGTTTGCTACAGCGTCCAGGTCTGGTCCTGAGTCTGCCCCCTGTTCGTGTCGCCTCCTATCTCACGAGACTCTCCTCTGGCACCACCGCCTTGGTCACCCCTCCCTGCTTCGTCTCCGAGGCATGGCCTCCCGTGTCCTTGTCTCTGGTCTTCCCCGGTCCCTCCCTCCCCTTCCTCCGGGGCCTGGCCCTACCTGCGTCCCCTGTGTCGAGGGGCGGCAGCGGGCTGCCCCTCACTCCTCCCAGTTTCCTCCGACAGAGGCCCCGCTGCAGACGCTTCACATGGACGTGTGGGGCCCGGCCCGCGTCCGTGGACAGGGTCACGAGCGCTACTTCCTGCTGGTGGTTGACGACTACTCGCGTTACACCACAGTCTTCCCCTTGCGCAGCAAGGGTGATGTCACTGAGGTGTTGATCGACTGGATCCGCGCAGCTCGTCTCCAGCTCAGGCAGAGCTCGGCTCGGACTTTCCTGTTCTGCGTCTGCACTCTGACAGAGGTGGAGAGTTCTCCTCTGGCCTTCTGCGAGCCTACTGTCGTGCACGAGGCATCCGCCAGACCTTCACGCTTCCGGACTCTCCACAGCAAAATGGGATTGCTGAGCGCCGCATTGGCATGGTCATGGACGTCGCCCGTACGTCCATGATGCATGCGGCTGCCCCCCATTTTCTGTGGCCGTTTGCTGTTCGGTACGCGGCGCATCAGATCAACCTTCACCCCAGGGTCTCCATGCCGGAGACCTCCCCAGCCTTGCTGTGGACGGGGAAGGTTGGCGATGCGTCTGCGTTCCGTGTCTGGGGATCTCGGGCGTTTGTCCGCGACTTGTCTGCGGACAAGCTGTCCCCTCGTGCTGCTCCTTGCGTCTTCCTTGGCTTCCCCCCTGACGCGCCACGGTGGCAGTTCTACCACCCCACCTCTCGCCGTGTTCTGTCCTCC